GTCGTGCTATGGCAGTGGCACCGGACTTACTTGCATAGGCAGGTTGTTGGCCATGGTGAAGCTAGGCATGGGCGGCAGCGCGCTGTACGTGTTTGTGAGCGCTGTGTCCGTTCTGCCCAACATGGAACCTGATGTGAAAGAGGAAACTATAATAGAATAGACAGATAGACGAACGCATTAGTTTAACCACAATTGCAATTGGCGATACAGTCTCAGAGTCTCATTTTCCCAAGAGGATGGGTGAGCGTGAGCGGGTTGGTGGCATTACCGGGGGTGGTCGGTTGAGGGATCGGCTGGTAAACACTTGTGCTGAAACTACTACTGATGGGAATGTGGCTGGGAGTGTTGCTGGCTTGTCTCCGCTGGTTCCTCAGCTTCTCTTCCCTTCTCCACTTGGCCCTTCTGTTAGAAAACCACACCTGGAAATACAGCGTTTGAGAGATGTGAGTGACCTTACAAGGACCAGAGGTGTGGCCCCCCTACCCGTGGAGCTCAAGGCTGCGCTAGTGGAACGCTGCCTTGCGGCGTAGCAAAGTAGTACGTGAAAGCAAACCCCAGCTGCTGTTATTTTCCTGAAGGAGGAGATGGACAAATATCCCATCATAAATAGGGGCTGCCCTGTGCTTTGAGAAGCCAGGAATAACAAAACTAGAATAGTAGTAGTAAAAATAATAATAGTCATAATTGCCCAGCAACTGGATACCTGTATCCTTGCTTCAGGCAGGTCTATTTTAGCAGCTAGTCTCTCTCTTGCAAACACATCGGGATAGTGGGTCCTCTCAAATTCTGCGAAAGGAAAGATTGTTGTGTTAGTTGCAAAGAGTTAATGTGGCTGACTGTAAAGTCAGAGTTATTCCTGCGCTGCCTATGCTCTAAATGCTCTTAAGAAACATTGCCGTAAAGGCAAAGCTGAGCTCCCTCCCTGTGTGTGCGTTAGGAAGGGGTTTGCCTTGCCTGCCGGAGAATGTTGCTGAGGGGATGGGGGGGCTTGGGTGCGATGCTGCATCTTTCAAGAAGCAGCCAAGGCTTCTGCCTCCGCTGAGGGGGTCCCCAAGGCAGCCCTGACCCTGTCACCAAGAAGTGAAATGGCACATCGCTAAATAACAGCAGAAAATAAGAACAAAGATCTGCAGCGGGTTAGAGGCGAGGTGCGCCCAGACCGGTCAGGGAAAAGGGCACCTGCTCCCAGCCCCGGGCAGCGGCAGCGCTGGGGACAGGCAGCGAGCGTGGGGGCAGATGCAGGAGGCTGCTGCCAGCCCCAGCCGCCCTGCCCCTGCCTTCCCAGTGTACGGCAACACAGCACGGCCAGGGTCACAGCACAGGCGGCTGGAGGAGATTTATCCCCGTGAGAGGAGCCTGGGGTGTAACACCAATGTTTCCGTGTGATCTGTGCCCTGCGTATGTTCCCTTCGAAAACCTTTTAACAGCTTTTCGGTGGATGCCGCAGCCATTGATGACTATTTGGAGCTCAATGAACAAAAAAGCATGGAGAGAGGTACAGACTTTAAATATATGCATATATATAAGGCATGTGAATGCCATGTTTCCATTCAGCTCTTAATATAGCCAGGGCACATTTTGCTTTTCTCTCCTGCTTCAGCCATAGGAAAACGTCACTCACCTTTCTCAAGGGCTTCGATTTGCTCTTGGGTAAAGGATGTTCTATTTCTCTGCAGCTTCCTTTTCAGCTGGAGTCTCATTTGGGCCTCGTCTGAATCTTCTCCATTAGAGCTGATGGAGTTAGTGTTTTCCCCTCCTCCCTCTTGTTGCGGACAGCCATCTGCGGAACCAAGAGTTGAAAAGTGAAATGCAGGTACCCTTTTTTTTGAGATCCCTGACAGAGAAATAACGTGATTGGAAACAAGTTCGGCCATGTTTGCTGACACCCTCCCTTAAGAACATCTCGAGTATCAAAGCAGCATTGCACTAATCACACGGGTAACACGGAAACATTTCCATTTCCAGCGTTATCGTAAACATCGGAGATGGGGAATGACGATCGCCTGGTCTTAATTTCATTTTGTTTTTCCTCTGGAATAAATCCTGCATAAAAATACTTTCCCCTGAAAGTGATTCTCTCCATGAATCACTGCTTAAGTGCCATGGCAGTCTCCTCTGTCTGCTGCATTTATTTACCTATTGCTATATTTAAAATAGTGATGTTCACTATTTCAGATTATCTATAATCAGTAATTCCTATCTAATCAATTAGATGTTGATAGGTTTGCAGAAAATGCTATTAAGAAACCAAACCAAGCTTGTAATCTTTTTTAAAAAATATTTATCCAGTTTTTATTTGAATTCTGCACAGTCAATTTCATTTTAAAGGTTGTGAATTTAGAAGTGCCTGCATTGTTCTGCAGTTTTATTCAACTATTGTATGAGTGTGCATTGCCTTGACACCTATTACTGAGCACAGCTGTAATTATATCATCACCAAGAACAGGCTATAATTGCTGAAAATGGAATTTTATATTTAGATAAAAGGACTGTCCATTCTTTGTAATGTGTTGCACCAGAGAAAAGTAAGATTTCTTTTAAAATTTTAACATGTAATTTTAAAAGAAATAGTAGCGAGTTCACTAACTAGCTAAATACGCTCTTCTGCAGCTGAACGGTTGGCATATCATTTAAGCGGTACATTTTTAATTAGGGCATTTCCACCACTTTTAATGTAATTTCTGTCATTAAACAGGGGAAAGTTTCATTGTCCTCTCCTGTCGGGCGGTGGCAGAGATGCGGCCCGGGGCCGGGCGGCTCTGGGGGGCTCTGCGGGCACCCCCGGCCGCCGGGGGGGAGAGAAACGGACGGTTCTGTCGAGGCAGAATCCTTGGCCCTAGATGAGCACTCCCTCTCCTTTCAAAGCATATTTTTCGAGGCGTTTTGATGTCGCATCTAAAGCGGGGAGATGGGATGAGGGACGCAAGGGCTACTTATGCTAATTCCCCTGAAAAGTTACACCAAAAATAAATAGCGACACTCCCGCGACATCCTTTAAATATTGTGGGAAATCAACTTTAAAGTAATATCATTTATAATCGGCGAACAATGGCCCCGGCCTTCAAAGCTCCGGGGGGAATTGTGACAGGATCTGGTGGGACCCTTTCAACCACTTTGAAATGTTTTA